GTTGTTGTTGTGTGTTGTGTGTGTGTGTGTGTGTGTGTGTGTGTGTGTGTGTGTGTGTGTGTGTGTATGTCTGTGTGTGTGTGTGTGTGTGTGTGTGTGTCGCTGTGTGTGTGTGTGCGTGTCTACACACGTGTTATTTTGTGTGTGTCTATATGTGGTCGTGTGCGTTCATGTGCGAGTATGTGTGTTTATGTGTGCGTACGTCTGTCTGTCTGTGTGTCTTTAGGTGCGAGTGTCCATGTGTATGTGTCCTCGTGAATGTTTTTTCATGATAGTGTGTGTGTGTAGATGTATGTTTGTTTTGTGTCTTCGTGATCGCATATGTGGGTGAGGTGGGTTATAGTTTGTATGCCTAAGGCCACCATGCGAGTGGTAAGAATAACAAGTAGATGCAAATATAAGCAACTTTTGACATGCTGGAGCACTATTCGTTCGTCCGTTTAGTACATCGTACAATGTCCCTTACCCAGATGTTCCAGCTGCGAGGGAGTCTTTCTTTTGAAACTGCTGAAACCTAAATCCAGCGTAATACCCCGTGCTTGACTCTGTGGATTGTTATCGAACGATGCGGTCGAAGCGACTGTGCTCAGGACCTTGCATAGCGACGTCTTTCCACTGTCCACATGACCCAGCACTCCTACATTGATATTCAACATCTTATTGTTGAAGATCGCCAACCGTAGAATTTAAATACAATGCCTCCTTGTCAACTATGTCACTCTCTAGCGAGAGAGTTCTCTAGAGAGACAACGTATGTATCTATATATAGGGGGGGGGAGTCCGAAAGAATGACAAATCACTCAAATAGTCAAATTGCCAATATGTATGTAAATATTCATGACCCTCCTGTCTACTAAATATAGTAGAGCTAGAGAGAGAGAGAGAGAGAAAAGAAATGAAGATATCTATTGCTGAACGAGTGAACGGACTAAACGTCTGAAGGAGTTAACACTGTTTATACTCATATTTCTATCTATAAAAGAAAATATATAGTTTTGGCGGATTAGTTCACTTGTTGCTCTGGACTCCTGGAGTCCTGGACTCCTGGCGAGTCCTGGGACCTGAAACTCTGAAAGTCTGAAACTGGAGTCTGGAGTTTGGGGAGTGGGGTCGTGGGGACTGGGGACTGGGGAGTCTGGACTCTGGGCCCCTGGGGGGAGACTGGACTTCACAAAAGAGTTCACCGTTCCACTGTTTCACACTCTCTTCACTCTCGTCTCTTTGACTCTTTGTGTCGCTTGCTTGTGTGACTCTTCACAGTTCAAATAATATGTTTTGTTCTTTTTTTAGGAGGCTATGTATGTTATGTTAAATCATAGCCCAGAGTTTATTCAGTTGGCATGGATAAATATGTTCACGTCGCCATTATGAAAAATTGTATAAATATTTATTTAAATATTAGCGATTAGTACGATAGACATAGCTCCGCAGTCCGCATGTGTCACGCACTCAAGAAGACAATGATGCGGTCAGACAAAACCTGAACAACGGATAGAACTGGCAGTCCGCAATGGCACATCTCAGCTGTCACGATTTGTACGGTATGTATTGAAACATAATTGGCTAACTTGACATACCGTGTTTGTGTATTGACAGTGGAATAGTTCTCATTGCCAAGCTATTACCACACCCTCTCGGCCGATATAGTAAATTTGAATACTTTACTGAGTCGCTCAAGCTGTCTATACTGAATTCAGGTCCCGGTGATCCGGACGAGTACATACCGCCCGAAAACCTGGCAATGGTGTCTACTGGAATATACAGAGCTGCCCTGGCGAAAAAAAAGAATTTTGCATACCTGCGGCGTCTGGGCTTGCGTTCAATACTGACTCTTTTCCAGGTGACGTCCTCCTAGCATGCCTATACGTGTACCTATATTTGTATATATATATATGTATATATAATAATAATAAATACATATATATATATATATATATATATATATAGTCTGTGTTGTGTTGTGTGTGTGTGTGTATATATATTATATTATATATATATATAATATATTATGTATATATATATATATATATTTATAATATTATGTATATATATGTGTGTGTGTGTATGTTTTCCTATATATATTAGACTTGCCTCGTTTACGATAGTCTACCAATACAATTTTTACATCAACTTTTGGACTTGCAGGAGGATTATCCTGCAGCCAATCTAGAATATATGAAGGAAAACAACATCAAACTTCTGCAATTTGGGGTGCCGGGAAATAAAGAACCATTTGTTGACATTCCCTCCGACGTTATCAGAGTATGTGTACAGATTTGCATGCGACCGTGGCACTTCCGCCGAGCTGTATGAATCGAACACTACTCCTCTGTGTGTTGATATCGAGGTCCGCCTATATCCTCTAAATCTCATTGCGTGATAGGCTTGCATTGCTTGCCGGGCTATCACGTGCTGAATTTTGATCTACGGTACTTATACGACTGTTTCGTGAGTAAATCGATGATACGTGCGTATGTGATAAAAATAGTATGAATGTGTATTTGTATCGACTTCGTCGACGCTCGCATTATATATACTTGCGTAACTGACTGATTTCCTTGATCACGTGACTACTGATCTTGAGGTCGCATGATTTGATAGGAAATCAATATTCGAATGTGTGAGCAACTGTCACTCAGATTCATGCATATGCCATCGTCGTCGCTGACTTGGCAAATGTGAGAGGTTGACAAATGCTCTCGATCCAAAATATTACTTCCTTGTACTTTCATTCGCTGCTATTAAATTCCACGGCCTAATTGCAGATTTTACTCCCACAAAGGATGCCCTATCTGCGCTACTGGACGTCCGCAACCATCCTATCTTAATCCACTGCAATAAGGGAAAGCACAGGACTGGTTGTCTAGTAGGATGCTTAAGAAAGCTGCAATCTTGGAGTCACACGTAAGATTACTTGTTCGGAAATTGCATGGCCGCGTTAAAGTGCATTCAATACTCCTGAACTAGTTCTGATCTTTATTCAGTGATATGGTAGGCTACCGCCGAGATTTGTTCAAAAGATGACACCTTTAACGTCCATCCACTCCCCCGACATATAACATCACCATTATTGTCGCATTTCAATTCGGACAGGTCTATATGCGATGAATACCGTCGATTTTCTTACCCAAAATCCAGAACTTTAGACCAGCAGTTCATCGAACTCTTCGATATATCTGGGATTCCATTCGATAAGCGTTACAAACCTGCCTGGCTTCAGTAGACGGGCAAGAAAATTCAGTGCAAATGAATGCCTTTGAAAATTTTATGTAGATTGATAGCACGAACAAAATATCGCCAAACAATGCGTATATTTGATATAAAAAACTAAAGAGCCGACAACGATTTTAGCATGTCTAGGTACAACAAATGCCGCATCACAACTCCAAACTTGAACAGTACATTGCGTAACCTAATTTTTATGTATGTAATTGAGATCTTGCCTTGTGTGTTCACTATTCCGCTGTCTTGATGCAAATATTTATGCACAATTCGTACAGTGCGCATGAGCCGATATAGTTATTTCATCATCCCTACACTATTGTGAAGCCGGTGCCATCTCGGGCGCCGTTTCGAGATTTATCGTTTTTGCCGCTTTTGTTGTTTTTGTCCTTTTCACGCCGTCTAATTCTGCTCGTGCCTCCTCCAGTTCACGTTTTAAACGCCTAAACTCATTATTCATTTCCCTCTCGAGGAAAGCGAAAGTTTCATCTCGTCCCTTTTCTTTCGCTACCCTTAGCACTGACCTCCCAAACTACAATCAACAGTATTGGATTTATAAGTAAGCAACAGAGGCAGTATGTTACGTGACCAGCACGGCAAAGTCAAAATCCCTTTCTACTAGCAGAATAATTGAAACATGCATCGCAAAGCGTAAAATCTGCCCCGCATTATAAAACGACTGACATACCGTATCCCTGTGCTCTATGTCTGCGCCTTGGCTAAGAAGTGCCTCACACACGTCTGTATGTCCGTTCTCTCCTGCCAACATCAATGCTGTGTATTTGCTCTCCTATCAGGATACAACGCGACAGTTTCAATTATTGAAGAATCCAAAAACGGCCGATATCGGTGCAAGATCAATCCAACCGTAACATTTTTAGCAATTTGCAAATTGAGACGCTACTTCCGGATGTAATCCCATTCAGTTTTATCAGATTGCGGAAAAATGTTATCTACCTGAACGCTGCCATGATAATTCACCAAACTAGCCGGCCCTGGAATACCTCAAAAATTGACATACCCCGCAAGCATCATTCACATCCGCGCCCCTTTCTATGAGAAGCTCTGTGACTCTCGCATGGCCATGTACAGCTGCAGCTTTCAATGCCGTATTTCCTAGCTGTAAACCGCGTGGAGATTAGCTATTCAGAGACTATCGCGTACAGTGCCACCGCTTTCGATAGCACGGTGTACCATGATATGTATTTCGATCAAAACCAAGGCACTGTATGAATGAAACCAGATACGACCGATGTGCATCAACAGTATTTCGATGGGCGAATCACATGTACAATCTTGAAGCCGACCACGAGAGGCAGTAAATCAGCTGAGCAGACAATAATATACCGAATTCTAGGAGATACAAATTACATAACACTCTTGGCACGTACCGCTGTTCCCTTGTTGACATCCAACCCTAGCTTTAACAACAATTGGCAGATTCCTCTATGTCCTCTTTTTGCAGCACAGATCAAGGGAGTGGCCTCGTATGAATTCTCTGCACTGGCATTGGCACCACCGCTCAAAAGTAGCTCGCATATGTCATAGCGTCCATATTCTGTCGCAACAAGCAGTGGTGTATCTCCATCCTATGTAGTAGCGACCGCATGTGAGCAAATCATATACATACTCAGTTAAATGATTCGTGAGTGAGCGATTATGTTTATCACGGTTTTCAAAAAAAAACTTAGACAAAGTCGTCAAGGAGACCCTTTTTGTTTTCAATGCATCAGTCGCGTCAAGAGAACTCTTTTTCTTATCAAGGCACGACGGAATAAAATATGATAAATAGAGTACCGTCCACGTGACGTGGTAAACAGGCGATGGTGTGGCACCAGTCCATACTCCATACGCCCACATTTGACTGGAGGCAAACTGATGCACGAACCAAAACAATCCGAAAAGACTGAAAGAACATACCGCGCTTGCTAAATTGGCGTCTGCACCTGACTCTAATAAGAGACTACAGGCCTCCAGCTGTCCATACTTTGCGGCGCAAAGAAGCAGTGACTCCCCTTTCTAATGCGTCGCCAGAGTTCGAAGGTGAAATGTGAGAAACAAAGAAGCGGTTGGCCGTGCGAATAGTACAACAGAAGCTATGACTCTATATTTTTATGCATCGCCGAATTCGAAGGAACAGTGTGAGAAAAAACCAACATTTCGAATACCCGTGCGACTAGCGCTTGCGCGATCCGAGCGGGTGCGTGACGTACAACTTAGTCTCAAGTGCATATAACAATTCAAAGTAGCGCGCGTCCCGGACAATTAAAATACCTTGTTCACCTTGTTTGACACGGCCTCATTCCTCTTCACCTTCCGCCTGATGCACTCCAAATCCCCCGTTTTAACTGCACTGAACACCGACATCGCTTCGATATGAAATGACAGCAAATCGAGGACACTAGCCAGTATTCATAATATTATCGAAAAGTCGATAGCAGGATATAATCGCAAATTACATACCGAGAGAGAAATGCCGCGTAAAATTGCATGCTTATGACGTGTTATTTTGACATTTTTTACATATGGTGGACAGCAGTAAAAACCAGGTCAATCCCAGGGACCACATACTGAGGGTCACAACATTTTTTCTAATCACCTAAAATCGATTTTGAGAGCAGTTTTGGGCTCTGCGCAACCTATAGATCAATAATATTCGGCTAAATTTTTGGTGCAAACCTTTGAAGAAGAAGAAATTTGTTCAGCCAAAATGTCGTTTCACAATCCGGGGGCTTTTGGAACGATGTAATGGCTGTAACACGCGATCCCAACGGTGAAAACCTAAAAACTCGACGGCTATGACCTCCATTCCTCAAGGCCTTTCGACCCCAATGTCTAAGTCAAAATTTCATAGGTTAGAAATTTTTTATCATATATATGCAATGCCGAAAAAGTCCTTTTTACCTAGTGTAAACATTTGGGCCGGGCAAAAGTACATTTTACCTAATATAAACATAGGGCCACCACATCTCCAGAAATGTCGTTTTTGGAAACTCAGTTTTTGGAAACTCATCGGTTTTGGCATTATCATGATCTGGCAAAAGCAACCATTCATTTTGGAGAAAAAAAATGAACGGCTAGTTTAGAGGTGAAAATCAGGATGAGCGACCTTGTAATTACTGCTGTGCACCATAGCCTTCTAAGTTAGACATTTTTCATCTTTTTACAAAAATACATGTTTTTTCGAATATGCCAGGAGCGTATGTATTATATGTCTATTATTCATAAAAAATATCATAAATAGCCTTCTTCATTTATATTTTAGACAAAACAATATTTATTAGGCCCGGTCTCATCCCCGAAAAAAAGTGGAATTTCACTTTTTCAGGCCAAATAGATTTCTCTTTTTTTTTTCTCTTTTTGGGAAATGTTTAGAAATAGAAAATGATATTTTTAGAAATAAACTGAAATTTCATTTATGTACTTATCCTGATCGAAAAAGAAGTTGGCAGGCGAATGAAATGTGAAATGAAATACGAAATGAGGCTAAACACAATCTGATTGGTGAATTTAGTATTTACGCGTCAATATTCAAACTTTGTGAACGAGATAGAACATAGCCTCCTAAATTGCACATTTTACTTCGTAATTTTACGGGTGAGACAGGAAGTATGAAATACTAGGAATGAAATTATTTAGTAAAATTTCATTTTTCATTTTTCATTTCACTTGAGCCCGATCAGACCGGGCCGTATATTTTTTTTGCTTTTTGTGTTGTTGTTTTATTAACGCCCGAGCCCGTGTCCAAAACCGCATCCGGTCCATTCGCAAAGGTAGGGTCGATATTTATGGGCCCACGTAAGGCGACTATGGATCAAGTACCGAAATATTAATCGTGTACACCGCAAAAAATATCTTTACCGATACTTCAGTAAAATAAATGTCAGTTTTCGGTACACAATCTACACCTATCACCTGAAATAGAATACAACGCCTCAGACTAGAGAGAGCCAATGTGCTGTTAAACCTGTGAAGGCTGTGAGCGTGAATTCGTGGATCCAATACTTCTGGATATTGAAGAAGAAAAATCGTTTCATACAGCCTTCTGAAAATTGGACATCAGAAGGCTATGTTTCATAGCCTAAAATTATACAAGAAGAAGAATAGAAGGCTATGTAAAATATGATCGGTTGGTTTGCACGCGATGTTGAATTTGGGTTTGTCCCGTTCTGTTGTAAATTTCAGGTCCAAAGGATTTTGTCCTGTTCTGTGATATATTAACCGCAACTTGTTTTTTAGAACGTAAATTCAAAACAAAATCACTCGGTTCATATAAATACATAGGAATACTAGGGCTCGGGTGTTAATAATTATATAGTGACGGGTGTCGTATAGACAGTCCTTTCAGTCCCCATCGGAGACATGTTTTATAATAAAATTAAGTCCCAGAACCCAGAGAGTATGGTTATTGGAGTGAATCAAGAAACCTAAAAACAATTTAGACGGCTGTGTTTTGCTTATTAGCCATCTTGTATCTAGGGGGGACATGATGTTGGTTGAGAATGATCCGCCAAGCGACAACAAAACGTCAAATCCAAGCATGGATATCGGGTAGGCAGTAGGTAGTGTTATGCTGGTATATATCGAATATGTCTTGCGTGCCTTGGTGTTTGAAAGTGGATAGAATAAGAAATCACTCCTTGTGGGGACACGCTACGGCCGGAAATTTATCGATATCGTTTCGAGGTTCCCCCCAGTTGCAAGACAATTTATCATTACCTGGGCTCTAATTGCTATTGCTCAGTTTATACTGTTATATCATACATATTGTGTCACGAGAATTACATTTAGCTGGTTTCAAGACGATGGACTATCCCAAGTGAGATGCATATACAGTCGATAGTATTTTATTGCCGTTGTGCGAACGTTACGCTCGCATTAACAATATTGATGTGCGCATACAAGTCATGATGTTTAAAAGCGGGGTTGATCAGGAATATGGATTCGATTGTCCTCACGCACTACTATTCGTGTAGTATTCACACATGTAAGTCTGCGGAGTACATGAGTGATTATATATATATATATATATATTTGTGTGTGTGTGTGTTTTTTTTTGTGCGTGTACACGTGTGTGTATGTGTACACGTGTGTGTGTGTGTACACGTGTGTGTGTGTGTGTGTGGTGGGTGGGTGTTTGTGGCTGGGTTTGTGTCTGTGTCTGTGTCTGTGTCTGTGTTTGTGTTTGTGTTTGTGTTTGTGTCTGTGTCTGTGTCTGTGTTTGTATTTGTGTTTGTGTTTGTGTTTGTGTCTGTTGTATGTTGTGTGGTGTATATATGTATGTATGTATACATATGTATGTATGTGTACGTATGTTTGCATGTATTTATGCATTGGCGCGTATTTCGAGAACAATTTATCGACTTGCGCATATATACCCGTGGATGTATTTGATGTCATGGATTGATTGTTTTCCCTCAGATGTATAACAATGTAACTTATATTTACGTGTTACGTATGCAAATGTTACAAGTTGGTTCTATTCGTATTGTACAAACGATACAAACGATGCACTCTTTTATCTCCGCCTGCATGTGTTAGTTGACGAATACCGGTTCATACTTTTGATTTTGTTCAGAGATACGTTAGAGAGCATCACTCCCGGTGGCTGAGGTTTTTTATGTAATGCGCTGAGTACGATTTATATCATATTTTCACACTTGATATTTATTTCTAAGATCAATAGCCAGAACCCGGGATGTTCGTCATGTCCTTTTATTCGCAGATAGTAAATCAGATTTCAATGTTAATCATTTTGTATTCTAGAGCTATACTTTATCATTACACGTGCTTGGTTTATTGTTCAGTCCCCCGTAATGTACACATCTCCATGTATATTATAGGCCATACACCCACACTATTTTCGATTATTTGATGGCGGAACTCGTTTCTGATCTATGTCTGGCTTACAGTGCCGTCTCGCAGGCCGAGTACGCTGATAGTTCACTTGCAGAAACTATCCCTGTGGGCAAGTACGAGGCCGTTTTGAAAGATGTCATGAAGGAATTCGATATGCCTGGTAAGATCTCGGGAATATTCATCTGCAGTTGGAATAAAAAGTGTTCGAACGTAATTCGAATTATATGCGAGCGCACGTGCTTTTAGGGCTGCTTAGAATTTACAGGTATCGGGTAGTTTGTATCGTACAGAATACGCCGCTATATGTAGTCTGGCAAGTGCCTGTGTGCGTGAATTGAGTTGAATTTCTTCGCTCGCACTTGCGCATGAATACTGCTGACCACAATCAGTAGATTTCGAGTTGCAGCTACACGCAAAAACTTCGAAATTATATCTCGTTACGAACTTCTCATAACTGAGGTACGATATTCTAGTATGCACTTGCCTGTGCGAGACGTAGAGAATTCTCATATGTTGATTAAGATATCATCGGCGGGGGTTTTCTCGAAGAATTTAATTTAGGACTTCCATTTTCCGCTATTCATTGTAACAGAGAACATACTGCTGCTTCGATACGAAGGCGAACAGCATCTCCCGTACATATCAAATCTGATAACGAAAGATCTCTCGGAACCATATTCCGTCTATACTTATAGATATTTCGTTGCCACCTGGCCTCAATATTCTCTGCGGGTATGGTCGTTTCTCTTATCTAGCTAACTGTCAAGTTTGTATCAATATGCTTAATTATAAGATGGCGTTGATCCTGTACCTCAATTATATACGCATATACAGCTTAATGCGTGCATTCCCCGCTGTGCCACATTCTTGCGTTATAGATGCACGTACAATGTACTCAGCGCACACAGGCTTTCTCGAATTTGGACAATATACGATCCACGATAGTGTCATCTGCCAATTCTCATTACATGCCGTTGCTCTAGTATTGTCTAAAAACGATTTCCCGATATCTCTTTACAGTTGATGGATAAAGATGAATGCATTGGCTGTATCGTTGCTAAATTAGAGTATCATAAAAGTGCATACAGAGGATACATCGCCATGTTGGCTGTGGATAAAAGGTTTCGCGGCCGGAAATACGGAACCGCGCTGGTTGTGGCAATTATCCGTTTGATGCAGTTGAGCATGTGCGATGAGGTATGTTGTGATCGACGTGTAAATTGGTATGAAGTATGTGGGGAGTTATTACGTATGATTTAAAGCGGCAAGAATTTTCATCAAAGTTGATAACTTCAGACCATCGTTAAATGTGTGCATACCACAGCAAAAAATATGTGGTTTCCGCGTGTCATGAATTAAATTAGAGCTTTTCCATGACAGTCTATATTGACGAATTTCGTACGTACGATGAGAAGCTAGCGGGCCGGGTGATATACCGACGCCGTGCTCTACATGTTGGCGTTTTTTTCGAAATCATTTTTTGCGTTATCGCACTACCCAGAGAAACTCTTGTTCTGTGAATACATCAACGTATTAGAAAGGTTCATAAAGTCCTGCGCTGCGGGGTTTACGAGGAATCTTGCATATGTGATTAACGAGCCTGTTTGGCTTCATGACATTGAATTCGATTGGTCCGCTGAGACTATACTATGGCTCATCGATTTATATCTTGTAGGTTATATAATCATTAATGTGTAGATCCTCGAATATTGTCACTTGTTGTCATACTAAATATACTATAGATAGTATGTATAATGAAAGTATTTGTTGTTCTAATTCCCAATCCCAATAGGTGGTGCTTGAAACAGAAGCCAGCAATAGTGGTGCGCTTCGACTATACTCCCAATTAGGCTTTGTCAAGCACAAACGGCTCAATGGGTATTACTTGAATGGTGTAGATGCCTTCCGGTTAAAATTATGGTTGAGGTAGCTGAGTGCATTGGTCAATAGTGAAAGTGGGAGCACCACCGGGCTTTTGCGTCGCCAATATGTCGAAGTTGCATTTCATCATGCCGCAAGACTTCAAAATAATGTCAGTCCAGCTTATCTGTTTGTACCAAAACAGAGGTCCCAATTCATTTACAGCGATCAAACATGCCCATCAAATTATATCAATCCTGATCGGTCAACCTCAAGTCTTCATAGTAGTAAGAATGAAGGAACAGAGTAATACTACAAATGATTACGGATAAAAAGCCATTGTAACAGTGTTCTCAGTAACGTTGCAATCATCTGAACATAAGATCCATACATCAAATCAGCAGTCCGACTCTGTGGCGAGAAGTTTGTTCGCCGTTATCACTCTCCTGGACCCCCGAACAATTTAGGTGTTACATGCCTGTGAAAGCCTGAGTGAAATATCGTGTTGGGGAAGTTAGCACGTCTGTCAATACAACCACGGATGCTCATCCAAACACGATCTAGAAGTGTATCACAAACTGTATTCGTATATTTAGACATATTACACATATAGCTTTGCAACAGTCATAGAAAACCTCGATACAGGACAAGGCTTAAGTGCATTCTAAGACTAGTCGTTTCCATAGTACTCTCGAGTATTCTGCAAGCAACCCATATATTTCAAAGTAGAATGTTACCTGTGAAAGGCTTATTATTGTCGTGCTGTGCCGGGGGTGCCATAATAGGGTGATTGTTCAACGGCCGACCACCATCTACTTGCAAGGATGTACCAGTAATGAAAGCAGACCCTTCACCGAGCAGCAAACTGCGGCACTGACCAGACAAATTTTAGTAATTGAATATACCAAATGAGATCATCGCCCTAGTGCTATATGGTGTTTCAGTAAGCGGATGCTTACCTCACCCTCTGGCTTACGAGGAATACACGAGTAGCCCAGAATGCTCGTTTTGGACAAGGAGGAGAGGTTTTAAGTAAGCACCGGAACCAATATGTCAGCATCTCAGCATCTCGGCAATTGCACAATATATGTGTACAATATAGTGAACGCATGACTACCTTGCACTATGTATCAAATACGGGACAGATATAGAGTTTACGTACGCATTCAAACGGAAGACAATGTTACAGCAAAGCTCATAATTGTGCAGAGTTCGGTGCCGAGATCGTATGTAATAGTCGAGCAAAAGGTTTCCATGGACGAAACAAACCAAGTGTACATAGACAGAATAATCGTATCGTAGAAGCACACGATTAAGTTCAAAATCACTTGGTAGCGTTAGTTGTGAAAGTGACAATACAATTGATATGTAAATTAACCATTCGGATGCTACCTTACGATAACAAGGCAGAAAGCAAGACAACATATATATAACTAATGCAGTACACATTGACGCATATATTCTGTATGAAATCACTTCAGTTAAAATATATGCACATCAACATTATTTCCTACCTCGGATTCAGTTCCCAAGCGATTAACAGGCAAAGTACCTCCAAGTTTTGGTATCATATTTTTCATGTGAGGATCTGAGTACGCGTCAAACCCACTCGAGGCAATCCATCCTGGAGCGACAGCGTTCACACGATACCCATATTTGGCCCATTCCACAGCAGCAGTTTGCGTTAAATTCACCTTGCCTATTCTAGCGGCCCCACTGTGACCCATACCTGAATGAAACGGCAGATAGAGTTCGACAAGGCGAAATGCGTACTTTATATCAATCGACGTCGGACAGATACCGCACATGGATGTTCTTGTGGATATCGTATAAAAGACTAACGAGGAAACAAGGTGGAAAATGAATGCTCACAGACACCAGGAAATAAATATAATTACCTGGCCAGCCACCTACATGTCGACAACGATATTCACAATCGAACATCCTTCGTTCGATATGAGGTCCCGATCAATACTCTGAGTCAGCAGTTCTCTACGTACCGTCAATTTACAATAATATGATCAAACAGTTATGTCTATGTCCGCTATACCGCTAGATATGTAATAATATCGCTGCGCACTAGCAGAGCGTCGGACGAGACACTTTTTTGAATTAACGCCATTAGATTGTAGTCTCGAGCAGCGACTGACTTCACACGAAAGCGCTAAGTATAAAATTTGAGTTAACTAAACAGACTGAAAGGATTGAAATTCAAAAGAAAATACCTGGAAAAAAGAAAGCCACCCGTGAGATTGCTGCTTATCACCGTTTCGAAACCCTGTCATGTGTGGTGATATCAAGAAGTTCATCAACGGTACAGAAAGGAGAAATATTTGGGTATCGAGTACTCATACAAATTTTGAGCCAAAAAATTGGTTGCAAAGTATTGAGTTTTTGAAGTTTCACTTTTAGATATATATCAAGATATCGCATTTGTATGATTATGTATACAAATCTCGGTACATGACTAAAAATACATTTGTGACATTATAAATGCAAATCTATATAACAGATATAACTCTCACACACAAATATCTTGTGAATTCATAGAAACATAGATACATACAATACATAAAT